TGAAAAAAATAGGTTTTATGAATAAACGGCAAAATGCTAAATAAATGTATTAGAGTACCTAAACAATTATTTTATCATATTATTAATTTATTATTTAAATTTTTTTGATTACACGATTACTATGATCAATTAAAAACAATATATGGATGTTACAAGATAGCAAACGATGGACAAACGTTATCAATCATGAAGTTAAGTCACCGATCAAATGCGTATCTATATCTATATATATATATAGCTCTACCACAATATTTGTATCTAATTAAATGATAAACGTATATATATATCATCGTATCGGTATGTACCTATATAGTATCTTTATATATGTTATATAAATATATATATGTATAAAATAAATGGTCGTAGTTTGTATAATGTGTCTTATCAGTTTTGTCGCAGATTGTATAATGTTAATTTTTTTTCGGAGTAGTTTACATATCGACTTTTAGAAAAGGTGTAATTTTGTCGCAGTTTACCATCTCACAAAAAAGTGTCATCAAAATTGTTTACAAAGCTTTAATACCATGTACCAGACAACAGTAAATAGCTAGAGTAGACAATATGCTATACATAATCTGGGATTAAAATAATATTTTTACATCATCAACGATTCGCAGTACCTACATAAGAAGTTGAACAACTCGTACAAATCGAAAATAAAATTATGTATCACCAAACAATTTCATACATTGCATGTTAAAAATTATTCTATTCTAATTATCACAATCACAAAAATATAATATATTTATATATTTAGCTAGATATAAAAAAAAAAGAATACTTGATTTAATTTTTAAGCATAAATTATTTTCCATTTTCATGAGTAACCAATATTTTAACAACACGAAACAGAAACCAAATATAATTAATTTTCAAATTTAGTAAAATAAAACTTATGTGAAGAAAATTAGTTTAAGAATCATGGTCCAATTAACTGAAATTTATTTTTAATTTTACATCAATTTATATTTTACTCTGATAAGTAATAACGTGCCTATAGTACCACTATGGATTATAAAAAATTTTATGAGCTAGTAGAATAAGTGATTGTTAAGTGAAAAAATATGGAGTTTATGAATATAACTAAACTTGATTCGTTTAAATTATGTGTTAATAAAAAACACAACATTTAAAAAAAATTAACAAAGTTAATTAATTATCCATGTTATTATTCTAAATCTAAAAATAAAACCAAAAAATATAAGTAATAAATTAAAAAAAATTAAAATAACTTAATCAATGCATTGGAGAACATATTAACGAATTAAAAACATTACTTAAAATAAAAATGGAATATTTGAAATAACCCGCCTACCAATTTATTGATATATCTTCCTTTATAGGGATTTCTTGGACTACTCTATTACATAACGTTTAAATGAAATAAAAATTGGATATTTACTATATATATACATTAGTGTACATTGTTCCTAAACGTATTATTTATTTTATTGGTCGAGGTTTTTCTTTCGTTTACAAAATCAATCATCAATTAGGTTAAATAAGTATTTGTTATAATATAATATATACTTTCGACATGTTTACTTAGCGGGTGTTCTAAATACCTCAATTAACTGTATACATATATTATCTTCACATAGGGCGAGACCGTATCTTCCATGATTCCTCTTAATATTAAATTGCCCGCGGCTGTCAATGCACGAGATCGCCACCCATAAGATTATAAATTTATTAGTTTATTACTATATACAGTTATACGACTATAACTGTGAAGCGAGAACACAAGATACGCGATAAAAACTAGATTTTTAATCGAATTGTCATTGTACAGGTCTTTATAGTAAACAGTAGCCTGTATTTGAATATTACATATAAGAGTAGAGCGTACAAGGAAGAAATAATAATTGAGAAAATAATACTTTTCCTCAGTGTATTGTATCGAATATACTATTTAAGTTTCATCCCTTGGAATACTATAGCTAGTACATTTTTTCAATGATATCCATGTCTTATCGAAACAAATAACAATCGTTGATTCTTCGATAATGTGTTGATATGATTACCAAATAACAAATAATATGAAACAATACCACTAGCGCAAGAGTTCGTGTTCGTAATACTATATTATCATCGCGATTCGACCAATTTACACTCGCAAACGGACTATCGTTTACAGTATAATTCATATTATAATATCAATAGTAATAATAATATTAAATATGAAAATATGAATAATATGAATAATTTTACTAACGTAACATTTTTACGCTTGCTCGCGTGCAGTCCAGTGCAGCGATGCGGAGATATATACTAACCGACATGTATTATTGATATGTTTTCAGTCATTGTTCTCCGTATACGGCCTACGGGGCACTGTGCTTGGCAAGGTAGAACAAGATCTGGACCTGACTCAGGTTTAAACGCGTTTCCGACAGATTTAGTGTACGCAAGTCCGCGTGGAGTGTTTAATGTTTATGTTACCATCGCATAAGTGTTTCGGGCCACTCGACGTAGTTTTAAATCAAAGTCCAACGCGTACTATTAAATAAATCTAATATTTTAGTTTTATGGTTTGCCCATCGATCTCGATCAACGATTTCCTGCATATACAATACACACCACGCTATATGTACGTAGTTCCACCGGTGTGAGCTCGTTGAAATTAATAATGGAGACTTTTTTACGCGTTTTAATATCGACCCAGATACGAAGGGTATTTGCAATACAATTTATAGAATATAGGTACACCGCCTGTGGTTAGTCGCGTACAATTAAAATAATACCAATACAGTTTCCATATTATAGTGCTGAAACGATAGCGATCAAAATCTAATAAATATATATAGAGAGAGAGAGCGAAAGAGCACTTACGTATACGGACGCGTATATACTATGCAGAAACTCGTATATAAATATGTAAAACCTTTGGGTAATTGTATTTGTTTTTAAATGCACCACGAACAACGAGAACCCAATACAACTGACATGGGTGTAAGTATATAGTGACTACAGTATGTGTATACTCGTACATATGGAAAAGAGTGGATGCGGTGTGCAGCAAATTGAAGAAAAAAAAATCTATCTTGATTGCAATAAACTAGATCTACTATCTATACATGTTGTTTGTATGTATGTGTTTGTGTGTGTGTGTGTGTGTGTGTGTGTGTGTGTGTGTGTGTGTGTAGCTGTCCGTTCAAAGGTGTAATATTGTGTTGTGAACAATATACATCGTACATGAAGGATCGCGCGCACATGGGCGTGATAGCCGCTAGCTTTGCTCACCAAGAAATCTAATATATAGGAGGTACCTGCGCAGTGTACGCGCGACCGCTCATTGTTTTGAAAAGTGATATCTCGTATGCAGAACGACGTGGTGGATGTTTGAAATGCTCCGTACGTGTATAATAATTTATCCGCGGGTCATTCAAAAGAATGAATATGTAGGGTAATTATGTAAAAAAAAATCAAGATCAAGAAATGTCATAAATATTTGAATATCCTTGTCAGATGCGTTAAAAAAAAAATATATAAAGTATACTGTTTTTATAATATATGATAATGTATATGGGTACGTAAGAGCGAGGGTTTAAACAATTTTACAACACCGACATTTTATGATCCTATACAATAAAATTCTTGTACATACGGCCGAAATTATATTTTTGTTAAGTGCACACATACAAAATATAATAACAGTAAAATACAAATATAAAAAGATTGAAACCCGAATTAGTAAAGTAAGAATAAACATTTTTGAATAAAAATTAACTGACAAATCTTTATTTGTATATTTTCAAAAAGATTTAAACCTCAGATAAAATATACATAGGTATATAATTTGTAAATGTATATCAATATAGTTGTTAATTTTGTATTTTACATTTATTTCAATTTTTTTTAATTTAAGTTGCTTTTCCTAATGTCTACAAAACCACCTAAAAATTTGAATATACATTATAAGGGTTCTCTTCAGTGGTCACTTATTGGATATCTAATAAATTGGTTCCTTCGATAAGTATATAAATTAATCGTTATAAAAATTTAAATAACTTACACTTAATAATAGTGAGAAACGACAACGTGAACGATTAAATTTATTTCACTTGAATTTTGAAATGATTAATTGAATTATTATAAAAAATATACTATTTACAACCATAATTTCAATAGAGTTACCCAGTGGCGACTGGTGGACCGAATGAGTGGTGATGCAGATATTTTCAAAATGTATAAAAAATCTTACTAGTGAAAATCATACCAAGATTTCAAGATTCCTTAAAATAACGAGAACATACTTTTATATTTGAAATATTTAAAATTTAAATTATTTAATAAAATTACAGGTCGACCATCGTTCAATATCTCACGTTTATTATTTAGACTACGGCGGAAAAATGGTGTTTGTGGTAACTTCATAATAATGTCATTAAATGTAAACATAATTGGTATAATAGTTTGTTGTTATTAAATATTAATATTAATAAATTATTATAGAAAACTTAACCACTAGGTACTTTATATAATACAAATGATTAATGTAAAGTTGAAAATGTTCGTGATTTTATAAGAATTTATATCTTTAGTTAGTGATACTTTTATCACGTAAAGGCACGAACATTTTCTGTCATGGTTTTTGATAATTAGGTAGCATTGTTTATATAATATATACAGATAACAGAAAACTTTTCTATTTTAAATTGAATTATTACTGAGTATAATATTCTTAAAGGCGATAGGAAATAATTACGTTTATAAAATACTTTCTTATTATTTACAACAGTTAGGTGATGCTGAGCTTCACTTGCTTCCACTGACGAGCCACCACTGGGGTTATCTAATAATTTTTATGCCACAAAATTATCATTTGATAGGTATTTATTTACTTATGCATTTATATTATGATATACATATGTATATGTTAGTTTCTTTATGGAATTATTTTTAAAGGAAAATTATTATACGGCTAAATATTAATATGTAATATATTATTACCAAGATTTAAACTTAATTTTGTACAGCTTATTATGTAAATATATTACCTGTATTTGAACTGTATTCCCCAATAAATCTCTTTGTCAGGTATCGAACTGTGACAGCTGTAACAAATAAATAATAAATTGAAATTTTTTAAATAATATTGCATTATTTATAATAAAATATATTTTGTGTGTAATTATACATTTTAATAAAATGTTTAACATAATTTTACAAATTTACAATTTAACAATTCAAATAAAAACAAGTTTATTTAAAAAAAATCTCATAGAGTTAACCAACATCATTCTCCACATTTAAATAGTATTTGTTATACTAGACCAGCGGTTCTCAAACTGTGCTCCGCGGAGAACTAGGGCTCCCCGAGACTAATCTAGGGGGTCCGTGGGCACAACTGAATTAAGTACAGATATTATTCGTTAAATTGTTACAAGTTACATTTATAATTTATATAGTTTGTATATTAAACAATATTATTTGGACAGTACGATCTAAAAATGTATAACTGATGATATTTATAAACTAGTGGGTACCTAAAATACATTTTTATTGTTACTGTTTATTAGCTTACTTATTTACACGCTAATAAAATTAATAAATTCACTATCATAGTCGAAAATGAGATTAGATACGAAATGGTTGATGATTATACTTATTTATATCTTTATGTAACTGCCAATAGGTAACTAATAAGTTACCTTACCAATTCACATTTTACAATATTTGTTCAGTTGTCACGTATCGATGAGACAATTTCCTACGTGTATTGATTTATATTTAGTGTGTGTCGTTTATTATTATTTATTTTTTGTGAACCATGGATTATTGGTTAAATAATTCAAAAAGAGCAGAAGTATCATCCTCATAAAGTACAATTATTGAAAAATAATGTGTTCCAACGACGAATTCTATAAGTTTTAAAAGAAAAAATAATCCATCTAACAAACAATCTGTGAGTAAAAAAAGAAAATATGATGAAGCTACATCTATTTAGGTTTTATAAATACAAATATTCAACCAAAGTACGTTTTATGCTTAAAATATTTTCTAATAGTTTAATGGTACCTTAAATTGCGTCGGCATCTTGAAACAAACCACAAATATACTATAGATAAACATGTCGATTATTTTATTTGAAAACGTAATCAACTTATGAAAATTAAGAAGTTTATAGCTGATACTGGGAAATTAAAACTGCTGGCATAGTTTCAAGAATTAAAAGTGTATTCTCATTAGGTAAAACTTTTAAATTACTAGGTAAATGTATTTTATATTATATTTTTTTAATTAAATCAAATATTTTGTCATATACGACATTTATGCACTCGTTATAAAAAATAAAATTAAAATACAATTTATTGATCCATGATTTTTTTATTAGTTATAAAATTGGTAATCTGTTTTTTGGGACTCCGTGGATTTTTTTAGCATCTCAAGGGCTCCGCGAACAAAAAAGTTTAAGAACCGCTGTACTATACCATAAATAAGTAGTAACCACAATATTAATAATAATAATATTACGATGTATAGTCTAGTATTCATATCCCATACATTAATCGTATTGTAACGGTTTGTCGATCAGATAAATTCTTAGGTGGTTAATGTATTCCCCCGATAGCTATTAATTTATCTACATTTCGTCATTACGATAAAATTATATTGTTATTGACAACCAAGGGAAAATATGATTTTAACTGATTGCAATCAGTCATGACTTCACATGCTACTGGTACGCTATTTATACCGATTTATACCGATATGATTATGTAAATAATCATAATAAGGAAGCAAGGCAAAATATTTCCGTGATAAAGGCGGTCACGTATTGGACTAACTTTAAATTAATCATGGCATTCGGTGACAAGTATCTGAACGAAGCAATACTTCACAACAAACAAACTTAATATACAATATCGACAAAAACGGTAGTAAGGTAGGTCATGTAGGTGAAACCTGAATTGTACGAATACAAAGGAGACGTGAGTATGTTTATTTTAATTGTGTGAAATACGAATTCTGAATAGATCCAGCTGCATATATTTATATACACAGGCACTGTTACATTTTGTCATAATATTCGCAGTCGAACCCGACATTGAACACTATACGTACGGTTTTCCGGATCACATCACTTACCGCAACCTTCTACAAAACGACAATCCAATAAAATGATTATTTTTGTTAAACGCGTGTACAAGTACAACGATATTATAAAATCAATGACACAAAAGTCGAAATCTTCGTTCTATACTTTTAGTTGCGAACATACATTATATACCTATACGTATGTAAACATGCAGGCACAGCACATTATTGTAATCAAATCGGTGTTCATGTCTCGACACTTGTCTTACTACGCGATCGAATATCAACATGTTTTTAAAACCACTTGAATATAAAAAAGTAGTATTAATGATCGTACGTTTTTTTTTCTTCCGTCGAATATTATATTTTACGTATTACTACTTGGATATGTATAATTAATTAATCATAAAAAAAAAAAAAAAAATACTTTTACTGAACACAAATTCGAATGAATCGTTACGTCCTATATAATATATGAATACATTTACTAATCCTTCCGTAAACACGATGGTAGTTACGCTTGTATTTATTTGGTAAGACATCGAAATAGTATACATAAATGCCGTTCAAACATGTTTAAAAGAACAAAAACCTTTTTTGAGTTCGTTTATATTTATTTATAAATCGTATTTTAAAATTTCTCATTACACATGAAACTTCATTATATATTATTTGTACACCAATACGTAAAACAAACGAATCGAATACGAGATAAATTTGAAAAAATTTAAAATGTAGCTTCTTCGTTTAACCTCGTTTAACAATTAAACGATTTCTAGTGTTGGCGCGTGTAGAGAAAGAGTGAGAGAGAGAAAGATAGTGAACAGAATTAATAATGTACGACCACCACCAAAGAATTGAAGAAAAAAACATTGGTAGTTTTATTTTAAAATAAAATCGGTTAAATAAATAATAACAACAAATTGCTGTGCGCATCGTAGTTAATATTTGTGAATAAAATATACTTAATGACAAATATATGACCATAGGATCATTTTTTAGAAAAATTAATTAATTGCACACATGTATGCATACGATACAGACGTATAAATGAATATTTTATAAATTCAACTTAATTTCATACGCTAGACTAATGATATCGAATATTGTATGACAACATTTATAATATACTATACTTATGTACGTCGTTATAACGCATGTCAGCGATAATGCATACTTATGAATTACTTTCTTCGTGTAATATTGTGTTGTATCAAATATACTAATTTTGTATGTAGGTTTATAAATATCACAGTAAAAAAATAAAATAAAATAAAAAAGTGATGTTATTTAAATTAACGTTAGTAGAAAATATTCCTTCGTGATTATTTAATTGGTTTGAACAAAAGTTTTATTCGTTGTTATCGATGTTCATAAAATTCAGATTTTGTATTTCAGCAAAACGTTAAATAAGTAATTTTATAACATTTATTTATTTTTTTAATTAGTTTATTATAAATAAAATATTGTGATCACTATACCCTTAATTATACATTATAGGGAAAAATTCATTATTCAAAAATTAATTTATAATAGAAAATGTACGCTCGTACAAAGAAGAAATTGGTAAAACTAATGCAACGTGTTAAACAATGTGTACAAATCTTCTAAACATTTAATTTAGTTTAACTGATTTTAAGCATTCTTAGTAACAATAATTTTAGAAAATAACACATTTTTGTCAATTGAAAAAATAGTCTAAAAATGTATACATAAAATATTTCAATAAATCATCAACATTGACTAAAAAAAAAAATAATCAATAAATAAATTACCTCATAAATGATAATGAAAGGTAATGATTCTTTAAAATTTAGATTTAAAAATCTCTCTGTTGCCAACGAAAACACACAAATTTCTTCAGAAAATTAATTTTTTTAATGGTTGTTTATAGAATCAATTATTGCACCAATGGTTCTGGCAATGTATTTAATTCACCACTTACACTTTGTAAACTATTAATATCAGAACCACTAAAATAGCAAATAAAAATAATTATTTAAAGCATTTTATGTATTAAAAATTATAAATTATGATATTTATTCATATAATATATTGGTGGGGGGGGGGATGCTAAGCACTCTCAGCGCTCTCAGGATTTGTGCCTAAGGTATGAAAACCTATATCGTTTTAATGAAAATTGTCTGTACTTGTTTCATTCCAACAAACGGTAATGGTCACTATTATTTAATTTGATTTTAAACGCTGATTTTTTAATATAAATATATATAGGTACGTAAATTATTAATAATAACTGTAGAGCTACAATATCAAGATTAAATCCTATAAAAAAATTATAGTTAAAATAATAACATACAAAATCATTTTGAGAAGACATTTACTGTTGAAATATAGCGAAAATTATAAGGAGAAAAACGACATTTACATGTTTTTGAAATATTAAAATCCTCTTGTAAAGTTATAATACACTCCCATTAATAATTATGTACATACTATTATAATATATATATATATATATATTATAATACATAATAGATATGTATAGATATGAATACTTACCAAATGGTAAAATAAATGGTTAAACATTATAATATATTTAAGAAAATATTTTAATATTTTTTACTTACACTTGTAATTTATATTCATAAGAATGAAATCAGTGTATTTGTATTTTAGGGGGTTACATTTTTCCAAAAATAGATAATTTTATGTTTGTTTTCAAATAAATTATGTTGACCCGTCACTTGATGTATTACCCAAATGGGGGAGGGGGAGGGGGTAAATAACTGATTCAAAAATAATAATAAAGAAATTTAATTTTATGCTGAACGAGTATAATATTTCTTTACTATCATATTTAAATTGTATTAAAAATATCTCATATATTTAGAATACTTATTTTTTTATTAGTGTTTAAAAACGGAATGGAAGTGGATTTTTATAATTTCACATTGCTGTTATTTATAAAATTAATTAAATACAACGTATGATATGTTATACTGAACATTTTATTACAATGTTGATTCAATTATATTTTTATCAAGTATAATTAAAC